GGCAAAAACTATAGTTCAATGTAGCACAAGGTTAAACGCTATGCTAATCACTTAGCTCCAGTACACAAAAGATAAATCTCTTTTTGTTCTCCTTTCTCTTCCACAGTTAGCTTGAAGTTTACAGACTGACATTAATTCAGTTCAGGTCGAATTAGCATTCAAGCTAACGCCTTATAGCCTTCAGTAAATGCAGCATACAAAATTATCTCACTATTATTTTATTGTAATATAATTTTAGTTCCAGGTTTCTAAAATACAATGAAATACTTAATAGAATCAGAATCAGCTTTATTGCCAAACACTCACCCTACAGAAAAACTTTGCCAACTACTCATCAGTTTTGAGCATCCTCCATCTTTTAAAAATGTTCCCAATGTCTACATGACTGTTTATTTTTTAGAGTAGAAGTCAGTCGAGGAACCTGTAACTTAAGTATTTGTTTGGTTGATCTTCTGCAAACGTCCGGCTTCTCCTCTATGTTCCACCTGAAGGTGACTAATCAGGCATTAGAAAATTATCAGATTTATCACATAAGAAATGTTGATACACAAAATAAATAATCAACCTGTTTATTTTAGCTATAAATGAGACAGCTGGGAAATAGCCCTCCTCAGGAGATGATCTGATCTCGTGGTATTGTGCATCTGAGCTACAAGATCAAATTAAAAGCTGAATAATCAACGTGGAGTTAAATAATAAGCATTTTTTTTTTTTTTGCTTTGACCATCATTGGAACAATAAAAGCAGGTGTGTCCAAAGTGCAGCCCGGGGGCTGTTTGCGGCCCTCGGAGTGATTTTGCATGGCCCTCACTAGCGCTTTTAGAAATGTAGAATGAAGTTTCTCCAGGAAGCTTTTGATATATTTTAATATTTTATGTTCAAATTTTTACTAATATATCTATTTTAGGACTTTTTTTGAGCAGAACAAATGAAAAATATAAAATAACGTTTGCATTCTTGAAAAAAAGTATTTATTTTTGTGGCCCATGAGTAGTTTTAACTTCATGATTTAGAAAAGTTTGGACATCGCTGAATTAAAGGTTGAATGTGGAACACGAACACTAACGCAACGTTGTAGGTTGGAGGTTGTAGTTGCAATAATAGAACAAGATTTCCAGCTGTTGGGATACCAGAGTCGCTGCCAAGGACGTAATTTTCACTTTAGAAGTGGGGGGGACACGGGGGGGGGGGTATCTTTACAATATGTTCTAATAGGAAACAGGCTTCAACACAAACGGTTGCTTTCCACTTGGTCCTAGAGCTCAACCAGTGTGAATTTAATATAGCGTAATATTGTTTTTGGATGGTAAAAAGTGCAGGGGTCAAAACTTGACTTTGGAAAAAGTGGGGGGGACATGTCCCCCCTGTCCCCCCCAAAAATTACGTCCATGGTCGCTGCCGATACGTGACATTTTTTATTTGGGTCCATCTATTGTAGGCTTCACCTAAACTCATTCTGGCTTTTCCACGGTGCTAGCCTCGCAGTGCCGAGCCAACTGTTTCGCAACCCGCAACAGTGCCCTCTAATGGCTGGTAGATGTAACATAAACCCAGCGTTACGCCCTTCAAAATAAATATTTGATTTCTTTTTTTATTAAAATAAAGCTTTTAAAGCAAATACTGTACCTTGATTCTGAACACCTCTAAACGCCCGGTGCACGCAGCGTTTTATTTAAAAGTCCCATATTCAACCTTTAGGAGAAACCAACGTTTGAAGCAGGAAAACGTTTTCTGACTTCTTTGCAGCAGTTTTTTCTTCTGTTGCTACCTGAGCCACTTATACTAGGACAGATGCAGAGCCTTTCTTTGACAAAAGCACGCTGTAGCTGTGAGAATAAAGAAAAGGTGGACATGGTTCCTTTTTCTCTTTTGTAAATTTCAAGGAAACAGCCTCTGCGCCAGTTTTCTGCAAGCTATCAGGGAGACAAATTTAGCTCCCAGATCGATAAGGTATTCATGCAGTAAAGAGGACAGCATGAAAGGAGTTTTTCGACATATCGCTGCAGTTACGACGCGGCGTGTCTGGAATATCAATGTGGAGAAAAGAGGGGAAACACCCTCAAAGGAGAGCAGAATTAATCAAAGTGATTCAGCCTACGAGATTCCAGCTTCCATTAGTTTGGAGGACGAGGTCGGCTAATAATGTCACGGTGGTGCAGAAATGTAAGAAGCTCAAAGAGAATTCATGCATTTCTAATCCTGGGATGTGAGGCAAAGTGAAAAAAGATTCTTTCATGTTAAAGTTAAAGTGAGAAAGAAACCAACTACAGAAGAAACATGATTTTGATGAGAAGCAGAAAAAGAAAAGCAGACAGAAGTTTTATTTATTTATTTTCGTTTAAAATTGAGATTTTATGCAAAACTGTCATTATAAGGAAGGCTGTTTAAAATAATTTTGTAAAATTTGTATTTTGGGAAATTTACATTTACATTTTAAAGTTCTAGAAATTAATTTCCACCAACATTAGTGTTAAATTTGCTGCTTGTGTTGTTTTTAATTTTGACTTTTTGCACATTGGATGTTTATCAAGCAGTAAAAGAAATACGTTTTAGTGTTCCTTATAGGGCAGCGATCATATTACTAGTGTGCCCAGCTGAGCTATGCAGCTCCAAAGTGGGTGGGGCTTCCTCGTGTTTGGTTTGACCAGAATCTCATTGTTGTTTTGCTGTTTCCCAAAAGTCAAAACTCACTGTTTCTCAATAAAAAATGTATTGGAGATTTTTTTGCATGTCGAAACTAAAAAAGGTTGTTGAATTACGTGGCTTCATACTAACATGTTTTATGTTCAGATTTTTTGCTTAAAGCCAAAAAGTAAAAAATAAAATAAAATAAAATAAAGTTAATGAAAAGAGCAAAGTCAATGGTACCAAGTGTACTGATGGGCATCCTTATGTTCGAACATGGTGTTCGTTATGGCCAAACTGCGGCTTGCACAGAAATCCAATAACGAAACACCACTCAAGTTCAGATTAGGTGGGCCGTTCCTCCCAATCACACCCCTCCAGGTCATGCTGTCATTGCCCACGTGAGCATTGAAGTCCCCCAGCAGGACAATGGAGTCCCCTGATGGAGCACTATCTAGCACTCGTCCCAGGGACTCCAAAAAGGGTGGGTACTCTGAACTGATATTTGGCCCATAAGCACAAACAACAGTCAGGATCCGTTCCCCGACCCGAAGGCGTAGGGAAGCTACCCTCTCGTCCCCCGGGGTAAACCCTAACACACAGGCAGAGAGTCTTGGGGCTAACAAAAAGCCAACCCCAGCCCTCCGCCTCTCACCCGGAGCAACTCCAGCAAAGGAGAGTGTCCAACCCCTCTCAAGGACTTGGGTTCCAGAGTCAATGCTATGTGTCAAGGTAAGTCCGACTATATCTAGCCGGTACCGCTCAACCTCTGCCACAAGCTCCTGCTCCTTCCCCGCCAGCGAGGTGACGTTCCATGTCCCAAAAACCAGTTTCCTTGTCTGGGGATCAGACCGCCAAGGTTCCCGCCTCGTTCTGCCGCCCGATCCACACTGCACCAGACCCTTCATTTTCCTCCTGCAGGTGGTGGGTCCACAGTTGGATAAGCCCATGTATTCGGTTCGGATGATTAAAGTTAAAACACAAAAAATACCCATGAAAAACAAAGACAAAAGGTATAAAATGGTATAAAAAAGTTAGGGGTGGTACTGAAAGACTTAATCAACTGTAATTAATTAATTAATCTAGATTAATCACTATTTAATCATTAAAGACAATTTGCACCCAAGCAATGTTTTTAATTAAAAATAATACTAGAGAAGATCAGTAGACTCACCCACACTTTAATGAGTATATTTCTGTAACCACAAGGTCTATGTCCACAAAGGTAACAATTGTGGGATTTGTTGGGATGTGTAAACATTTGTAAATGGTGAAATGTAATTAAGACATGTATTAATGTAAATGTTGTGTACTGAACTGAACACTAGGTGGCAGCAGAGCACTGTTTATATATAGAGAGAGAGAGGTGTAGCGTAGAGTTCAGTGGAAGTTCTGCTGAGGACTACTAGATGTATGCTCATCCCTCCAGCTGTAATAAAGTTCATATGGATGAGTTACTGCATGCTTTCTACCAACATAACAGTAAAAAAGTGGATTTTTTTCTTTTCTTAATGAATAGCAATTTTTCACGACTTAGTTGTGTTTGGAGCACATAAAACATGTTATAATGGTCTTGTAGCTCAGGCTTTGCTGTTTCGTTAAATGTGCAGCTTGATCGTATTTGTAGATAAATCAGGCATAAATTGGGACGCTAAACTTTTCCAGCCCCCAATTTGAGGGAATTCTGCTTAAAAATTTAAGAATTTTTTTTCCTAATCAATTCATCGTAAAATATGCGTTAAATTCCCACCCCTAATAAATAAGGTACACGAAAATATTAAAGGGTCGAGTTCTATTTTTGGGGTCATAACTGAACAGAAAATAAAATATATTTTAAAATGGGTGTAAATTATCTAAAGCCTTTGAAAGTCAACTTCAGCTAAATGAGACATTATGTCTGATTAAATTGCATTATATTTACTTCTAGGCACACGTTACCTGAATGATGTGTAAAAATTAAACTTTTCCTGTGACAACAAATATTACTAAATTCACTGCTGACTTAAAAAATCTAACAAGAACGGTTTGTATGTGAGCTATGATGAAACAAGTGAGAAATAGAGCATTAAAATGATTTCACCTTGAGATGTTTATCCCCTCCAGACATGCATAAAATATGCTGTGTGTGTGTGTGTGTTTTAAACCATACAGTATTGTGTGATAAACATATTTTTTCTTTTTTAATCTCTACATTGTTTTCTGTCAGAGCACAGCTTGCACAATTTAAATAAACATATTAAATGTTTATCATGTTTTAATTCTGTATATTTCAGTTTTTTTTATCATCCCCGTCCTGCTTGACTCCATCCATGCAGAATTTGTGTCGTATTCATAAAACCTGAATGATTGATGGCAATGTCGGTTTCCTATTTCAGGATGTCGATCGTCAGCATCGTTGCCAGGGAGATCTTGGACTCCCGGGGAAACCCTACTGTGGAAGTGGACCTTCACACAGAAAAAGGTGAGCCTGTCTGGGTCCAGATGGTCTGATTTCTATTATCAGTCAAACCACTGGAGCAGCATTCCTACAGTTTTACAGATCAACCCATTTTAAGGAATATGACTTACACAGAAGGAAGCATAACTGTGTGAGCTGTGTTCTTTCATCAGTGGAATAATTTGCTCTGCTCTTTAGGCCTGTTTAGAGCTGCGGTGCCCAGTGGAGCATCCACAGGGATCTACGAGGCTCTGGAGCTGCGGGATGGAGACAAGAGCCGCTACAAGGGCAAAGGTGTGAAGAGCTGTCAACGGAGCATCTGTCATGTTTGATTTGATCAAGTTTCATGCAGTGGCGGCTGCTGAAAAAAGCTCTGGGGGGGTGGGGGATTGCCCTATATGTGAAATATTACCCGTCTTCGTCCATTCTAAGTGTTAAAATGAAAAGTTGGAAAAGTCCAACAAACATTAAATTCCTTCCTCCAAATAAGCACAGTTGGAGAAAGTCAATTTTCTAATTTGCAGATAAAGCTGTTGGTTATAATTTTACTAATACTCAAATACTCAAGCCACCTGCAGTCAACAATCATGTGTCTCAGTTAATCATCTGCCCAAAGCTGGACACCTCAAAGCACAATACTCATCTTGGCCAGTAGATGGCAGTAACACGGCATCAAAATCGGACTAATAACGCAGTTTTATGCAACAAAATGAGAACCAATAAACACAAGTTACAGCAACAGCTATGATTTCAGCTTTCTATTAAACCAACTGAGTGTGTGTGTGAATGAGGAAGTGACAGACGGGCTTAAAATGAAATCCAGCACCTGCTAGCATGATAGCTAGTTGTTTTCTGTAAGCTGAGGCGCTGACTGAGTGTGTGGTACACTAGTGCGCAAATAATAGCCGAATTGAGACAGGGTGCATTGCGTAATCGACTGCAATTATGCCGGGACGCTGGTCGCTGTGTTACTTTGTTTGAAAGTTATTAATAAAGGTTTTTAAAAAGCAACCAAACCGTAATTTGAAATACATTTACATTATTTGCTGCTTTGTCTCAGACATACAGAGCATTAATTACCCATTCTAAATTGAACTACTTTATTTTAAAAACATTTTTTTTCCTGAAAAGGCACTTGAGCTTTTTCTTCCACAACAATGGATTGTTGGTAATACCCTTCACCAGAAATGCGGCTCAACGGTGCAAAAAGGGCGTGATCAACTTCCACACTTGAGAATCGGAACACCCTACACACTCGCACAACTGACCGGGATCGTGCAACTGAAGGGTGCAAGTGTGGAAGCGCAGGTATTGGGATTGGGCCATAGACAGTCAACTCACGAATGCTGATTGGCCCAAAATTCTCCAGTTCTCCCTAGCAACCAAAAGTGATTGGCTGTTTAGCGGCAGTTCAGGGGCACTTTGCTCAGCGCCCCAGGAGTGAAACTAGTGAGTCTGGTGGAGGAAATTCACTGTTTAATAAGAAACAGCTGGTAAACATGTAGACACACACAATGAACAAATCTGACACACAATGAACAAATCTGACACGTTTATAGTAAATATATGAATACATATTGTAGTTTTATTTACCTTTTAGACTGCCTTCAAGATTCAAAACTGCCTTGAAGAGCCCTGTACACAAGTAGGAGGATCTTAAATTTGGCTCTGTACTGCACTGGGAGCCAATGTAAGGCCGTCAGCACGGGAGTCATGTGTTCCCGGCCTCTAGTGCCTGTCAGAAATCTCACTAGACGAGCTGCAGCCTTGCAACCGCACCTTGACTTAAGCCGGGCGTACACTGTGCGACTTTTTCACTCGTAGCACTCAGCTTCAGCTCACACTGTACGACTTCCTCGCAGAGCAGATCTCACGAGTCATGTGCTCACACTGCACGACCCAGTTCTCAGATGCGACCTGACTGCTCACACTGGACGTCTGGTAGCTACACGTCGGCCCTAAAAATATGCTAAAAATAGCCGTTTTTACACAACACGTGAGACTTTTTTGTCTTGTTTTGCCTGTTGTCCTTCGGGAGTGCTGCAGGAGGACACACAGGGATTTATGGGGGTTGGATGAGGAAAACGAAATAAAGAAAGTAAATCTGTGTTTTGTGATCAGTTTAATTTGACATGAACACAACAAACACGCTTTCTTGACAATCTTTGTGAGTAAAAAAAACGTGTAGAAACAAAAACGAACAGCGTGTGTTATTAGGGAAATAGCGGGCGAGCGGCGTTGATGCAGGATTGCGCATGCGCCGTGAGCGGTTCTGATACTTTTTGGGTCGCAGCTGCTCGCAGCGCCGCTTCAACAGTGCGATACCCTCACGAGGGACGAGCGAAATATTAAACACGCCAGAAGTCCGTGCGACCTCACGACTGCTGATCGGCAGCTGGTCACGTGGTGTTAATCGCCTCTCGTAACCCCCTGTACGCTACACAACCGCTCGGCGCAAAACTCGCCCCGATGTCGTGGATTCTCGCACGACTGGAAAATCGGCTCAAAAAAGTGAAAAAGTCGCACAGTGTACGCCCGGCTTTAGACTAGCATCAGTGACATATAAAGCATTGCAGTAGTCCAGCCTGGACAGGACCAATGCATGGATAACAGACTCCAGGTGTGCCCTGGACAAAAGGGGCTTGATCCTAGACAGGTGCCTAGATTACATAAACAGGACCGCACAACAGTAATACAGATTTTTCAACTTTAATGCTTATTTGATCTGCCACCCTTCATAATAACAAGACAATTGTATGAATGAGTTCAAAATTCTACATGATATCCAGATTTTGCAGCTACATAAACATGCCAGATGTATGGAGCCCCTCTGATGACATGGTCCAAAAAATAAATAAATTGTGGCCACGAAATAGCTATAACGTGGACACGAGGGGCTCCGTACAGATGTGACGCACATGTGCACGTGTTTCCACTGCAGTTTTCTTAAATGTTTATAATTTTTTGCATTTTTTTATCACACTCTTTTTTTTGTCTGTTTAGGTGTTCTGAAAGCAGTCGGACACATCAATGACACGCTTGCACCAGCTCTTATATCCTCTGTAAGTCAACAAATATGGAGATTATTATATATTCTAAATGATAATAAACTGAAAACAGAAACTGTTTAATCCAACTTAAAAAATTTAAATATAAAATTTCAATTTAAGTTAAAGAAGAAAAAATGAACAAAAAATAACAATTTTAAATTTTTTGAATGGTCACATTGTTCTATTTTCAAGATTTGAAGGGATTTTGAAGTGATTTTGTATCTAACAAGGTCTTTTTACTGAACATTTTTACATTTAACAACAATTCTGAAGTGGTTTTAGGTGTAAAATATATAATAACTTCCTTTTTCTTCCCCAAAACTTTATTAGGATTGATGAGCTAACGGCTAGACAGAGCACAGCCTAGTCCAAAGTGTATTTCAGTTGTTGGGAAACAGCGCCACTCTCTCAAAGTGAATGCAGGAATGATTTAGTAAACCCTCACAGAGGTACCTCTTTTGCAAAAGGAAGCTTTCTGCAGTGTTGTAGTTACACCTATGTTTTTTTTTTTTACCAAAAATTGGTTTAAAAAAAATATATATATATATCAAGAAAATTTTCGAAATCTTTGTGACTTTTGACATTTTAAAAGTTCTTTAAAATATTTAAAGCTTGTTTTAACTTTTACTGTTTTCATATTTCCACAAATATCAGATTAATTTATAAAATGTTTAGAAAAGCAATTAATTCACTTGAGTAGGTCTACCGATTTTAGCTACCTGGAAAATAACAGCAGAGTTTGATTTCTGCTCTTCGTCATAAAACAAGAACAAAATCCGATCCATTTATGGGAGGATGTTGTTGCCATGGTAACTGAGCAGACTGGTCAGACTGACAGGAAACAAAAACAGCCGACAGTCATTATGTGCAGCCACCACTAATGTTTGCTTTAAGTGTCTAATGTGCAGTTAGCGTGTTCAGGTGAAGTTTGGAAAATTCTAATTATTTAGAAAATATAAGATATGTTTCTTTATAATAATAATAATAATAATAATAATAATAATAATAATGCTTATTTTATTATCAGCTTAGCTTTATTCTAATGTAAATTCTAATTTTAATTAGAAAGATGGAAGATTCATCATAAAATAGAAAGCTAGCTTGTCCTCACCTTCTGATGCGAAAAGTCTCCTGTGATCTTTTGCTGCGTTGCTTATTGTTTACTGTCTGCAGGGTATCAGTGTGGTGGAGCAGGAGCAGTTGGACAACATGATGATTGATATGGATGGCACAGAAAACAAATGTGAGTCAAAACACGACGGGAGCAAGTCGTGATGACTAACACAACGTCATCAGAGTCTACCAGCCTGCTGGAAATCTCCATGCTTCAGCAGAACGTCTCAGCCAAAGCTCGTTTGTCACAGCGTCCTCTGCAGTGGAACAAGCTGCATAAATACCGGCGTTAATAAGACAGAAGGAATGGATTGCTGCTCCAAACGGGCCTCGTTGGCTCGCACCACGCAAACTCACAACCTTTTAAATAAATGCACCGCTAATTTATTTTAGGCAACAATCATGACAACTAATCATTTCAGATGGAGCGGTAAACAAGCATGAAAGTGATGTTAGAGGGAGTTAATGTCAGCCGGAGCAGGAGCGCTGACAGATTAACCTGCAGCTGCAGGAATTCACTTATTCTTTTCACTTCAAAACAAAATATTTCAATCAGAGAGTCTCGGCTAAACTAAAAACCTGTTGTTTTTATTCTTATTAATGTTGTTTTTATTCTTATTAATGCAGATAGTTGTTTTAACGGGTTTGAAGGCAAAAGTTTGAATTTGAAATAAAATAAATAAAAACAAAGTTCTTTCTTGTCGACACAGATAAACAACAATTTCTTGTAAGAAATAACTAAATATAATTTAATGTATGTTTTTAAATTTTTTTATTCATTTTTTTATTTAATAAGAAAACTAAAAATATTTATAGCTTTGATTTGATAATCTGATCATTACTAGGGATGAGCGAGTACACCACTATCTGTATCTGTATCTGTTCAGCCAACTAAATTATCTGTATCTGTACTCGGAATGGGCGTGGCATAACCCGGAGGTGGGCGTGGTTTAACCGGAAGTGGGTGTGGTTTGTATCAGTACATTATTTTAAGTCTGAAATTGATATGGAATGATCAGAAGTTGATATGTGTGTGGTTTATTTGAAAACTATTTACAGAGCAGCCTCAGAATTGAGATAAAATATTTTTGATCACAATAGTAAAGGAACTATTACAGAACAAGTGTTTCAATAAAATCAGAACATTAATATTTAAGTGCATGGATTAATACATCTGAACTCATGCAGTAGGAACTAGGAAATATGAAATGCTAGAACCAGACACAACTTTATGTATATTTTTTCATTTTAATTTGATTAAACAGATTTTTTTCTTAACGTTCTTGGCATTTTGCCGCACAAAGTTAAACAAAACAATGTGGATTGAGGTGTGTGTGTGTGAGAGAGAGGGAGAGAGAGAGGGAGGGAGGTAAAAAAAATAAAAAACCCGACCGGAGCGGAGGTAGAGACACAGCATGTTAGCTCTGTCTTGTCAAATGCACAATGTAAATTACGAAAAAAGTTACTTTAAATATTCAAAAAGAGGCAAGCTGAAGAAAAGCTAGGGAAAACTGAAGAAACGTGAGCAACAGTGAAGCAATCACAGCGAGATCCGTTACTGTGTGTGTGTGTGTGTGTGTGTGTGTGTGTGTGTGTGTGTGTGTGTGTGTGTGTGTGTGTGTGTGTGTGCGTGGATGAGCCAGACGGACTGCGCTCCCGGCCGGCTAGAGAGTTTTGTGTGTAGGGAGGGGCGGGCGCTCTATGAGACTGGCCAATCACAGAGCGTGAAGACAGTCAGTTACCCAATGAGGATTTTCCTTCAGCACGATTACAGATATTTACGAGGTTTACTCGTGTCATGATCGTGTTCGTCAAAAATGCTTTATCCGTACCGGATACTCGTCTGAAACGAGTATCTGGCTCATCCCTAATAATTACCATTGATGCAAAAATGATGTGAGATGTATTTTAATCTACTGGGGAAAAAGTCCCATTTTTTTACAGGGAGGGGGCGGGGCTTGAAAGGTGAACTCCAGCCTGCCACTAGGGGGCGATTGTTTTTAGCCTCAGCCCCAGGGCAGCTGTAGCTACAGTGTAGCTCATCACCACCAGGGTGTGAATGGGTGAATGTGTGTGTGAATTGTGTTGTAAAGTGCCTTGGGGGGTTCTAGGACTCTAGAAGGCGTTATATGAAACACATACATTTGCCATTTCTTGACGAGATTTAACAAGTCACCGTTTTGTTTGCATCACTGAATTAAAACATGTTTTATTGAAGTAAAACTGCATAAAAATATGAATGAATGCATTTATCTAAAATCAAACATTTTAATGAATTTGAATGTGTTGCATTTTGCCTCTAGACTTCACATAAGCCATTGAAATGTGCCTCTAATTGAGATTTAACATCAAATCTACAACCTAAAACACGTGTAAAATAATGTAAATGACAAGAAAAAGAGAGTAATATAAGTTAGAAGTAAAGTATAATTGTTCATTTATGTTTAAAATCTCTGAACTCCAAACTCAAACATTTATTTTGTTGCTTTTGAGGCTAATTCTGAGTATCTGTTGATGCTTGGCCCATCAAACAGCTACGTTCGGAGCCAACGCCATACTGGGAGTATCTCTCGCCATCTGTAAAGCCGGCGCAGCGGAGAAAGATGTCCCCCTGTACCGCCACATCGCCGACCTGGCCGGAAACACAGAACTCGTGCTGCCGGTTCCTGTAAGAATCAACTCCACCACCACAAAAATAAGGCGTCCTTCACTTTGGTTTGTATTTAACAACATTTAAGCTTCTTTTATCTGATTTTCAGGCCTTTAATGTGATAAATGGAGGCTCTCATGCAGGGAATAAACTCGCCATGCAGGAGTTCATGGTTCTGCCTGTCGGTGCAGAGTCTTTCAAGTAAGAATTCTTCTTCCAAAAACATTTTCCACCCTCAAATGAAGAATCGAATGTTTCTGGTGCTCTATCATTCATGCTAATGGGAAAATCTGCATGTCTCAGGGAGGCATTGAGGATAGGGTCCGAGCTGTACCACACACTGAAGGGGGTGATTCAGGAGAAATACGGCCAGGACGCCACCAACGTGGGAGACGAGGGAGGATTTGCCCCCAACATCCTGGAGAACAGCGAAGGTGAGGAGGACGTTAGCGCCTAGATGCTTGAAGTAAAGATGAAGTCTAACGGTAAATCAGAGTTTTTACTTCTGAGCCGTAATGAAAGTTCCATTTTTGGTTCTTTTTTAAACACAGGAAAGGTTTTTCTTTACCTTGCTGACGTTTCGTTTGCGGCTGCCGACATCCTCAGAGCTGACACTGATGGTGGCGTCACTTCCCACTCCGTTTATCCGCGGGCAGGAGACGTGGATGTGGGACCATGAACAGGAACGATGGGGTCTAGACATTGGATCGTGCATGGGACTGCATCGTCGGAGAGGGGAGAGCGGGCAGCAGAGGGCGACAACGTCCTCTGCTGCCCGCGGATAAACGGTGTAGGAAGTGACGCCACCATCAGCGTCAGCTCTGAGGATGTTGGCAGCCGCAAACGAAACGTCAGCAAGGTAAAGAAAAACCTTTCCTGTGTTTAAAAAAGAACCAAAAATGGAATTAGAAGACAAACACAGCAAGAACGTACAAAAGATGTTTAATGAAAGTTATTTAAATTCCCGCTGAAGCTCTGCTGTCCCAGATTCCCAGAATCCAGAATCGTGGGTTCAAACCTCTCTCTGTTTCCTCCCATCTCTCCTCCATCCGATGCTCCTCTGACTGCTCAGCTCTGGACCTGCTGCAGACGGCCATAGAGAAGGCCGGCTTCACGGACAAGGTGGTGGTCGGGATGGACGTGGCCGCCTCTGAGTTTTACCGGGAGGACAAATACGACCTGGACTTCAAATCCCCCCCAGATTCATCGAGGCACATCTCTGCAGACGAGCTGGCTGACCTCTACCAAAGCTTTGTGAACAACTACCCAGGTGCAACATCTTCCTTCTGCTTGTTGGTGAAGAACAGAGGGTGAAACACGTCACATAAAAGCTAACTTTCCCTCTTTCGTCCCAGTTGTGTCCATCGAGGACCCGTTTGACCAGGACGACTGGGAGGCCTGGACGAACCTGACGGCCCAGGTGGGGATCCAGGTCGTTGGAGACGACCTGACGGTGACCAACCCAAAGAGGATAGAGAAAGCAGCCGAGGAGCGAGCCTGCAACTGCCTGCTGCTCAAAGTCAACCAGATCGGCACGGTCACCGAGGCCATTCAGGCGTGAGTCTGCGGATCACGCTGCAGGTTACGCGGTTGCCATGGACACAGGATCGATGCTCATGTCTGGTTCTTCAGGCAATCCTCTCCCCAAATGCTCCAACTGGAACAAAATCCCTGGTCCTTCAGCAGAATGCCAGTCTGTGCTGGAGATTATCCTGGAGAGGCGGCTTCTGCTGACTATCGTGATACCAGGCCAAGGAAGATCAGGGCTCAACGCTCTAGTTTCTGCAAATGTCCGTCATAAAAAACCGAGACAGGAAAGAAAATTAGGAGAAAATCTTTTTTGAGTCATCCTCAAAACCTTTTAGACAAATATTCAAAAGGTGCCCTTGCAGACCTAACACACACACACACACACACACACACACACACACGGGTACTTAACACGTCGGTTAGGTGAGTTACTTCCATCCAGCTATTAATTCCAAACAAGAAGGTCACAGGAAGTTGTTCATGCTGGGACTTCCTCTTGGCTCGCCGGGACATTTTTTATGCTTTTACATATTTTTAAATATTTGTAGAGAACAATCCTTCACCAGTGTTGGCCCGGTGTCCGGCTCCTGGGTGTGTGTGTGTGTGTGTGAGATCCCAGCGGCAGAACCCTCCGCCTCATGAAAACCTCCCTGCACCATTAATCTGATAAATAGCTGTAATAGATGCGAAAGCTCAGCTGGCCGGGTGGAGCCCGGCGGCATCAGGACACGTCTTAATCCTCATCCTGTTAACTTGTCAAAGAGCCTGCAGTTAAAAAAAGTGATAATGCTCTTGTCCTGTTATGAGTGTGACTCATGAATGAAGTGGATGATCTGCACTACCAATCTGAATTCTACATCAAGCGCATATGATTTATATTCATATGTGCTTCGAGTTAAGTCGGTCGGGTTATACCAAAGACTTTAAAAAAGGGACCCGACGCCTCACTGCTTGGTGCTCAGCTTTAAGGGGTTGGATTGGACCAAATAGTTCCCGAGCACAGCCACTGCTGCAGCTCAGCGCTCCCCACGGGACGGGCCAAAAGTGGAAACGTCACTTCTGCAGCGTGTGATGACGACGAGTGAGACGACCACGAGTTTTAACTTCTGTTTGTCTCCCAGGTGTAAACTGGCTCAGGCGAACGGCTGGGGCGTGATGGTCAGCCATCGCTCGGGGGAGACGGAGGACACCTTCATTGCTGACCTGGTGGTGGGACTGTGCACTGGACAGGTGAACACACACATACACACACACACACACACACACATGGACACACACATATTGAAATGCTGCACTAAAGGAAACTGATTGTTTTTGCTCACCTGAAATATTTTGTGTAAAAATTCGTTTTAGGAGTTGTGAGCAAACAGAAACAGTTAAAACCATTTTATCAGAAAGGCATCTCAACCCGATATATTTCTGTTCAGAAGTCGTGTGAGACATGTTCAGGACGAGTTTAAATCATGGACGTAATTTTCACTTTATAAGTGGGGGGGACACGTGTGTGTGTGTGTGGGGGGGGGGGGGTCTTTACAGTATGTTCTAATGGGAAACCGGCTTCAACACAAATGGTGGTTTTCTGCTTGGTCCTAGAGCTCAACCAGTGCCAATTTAATATAAAGTATTGGTAAAAAGTGCAGGGGTGAAAACCTGACTTTGGAGAAAGTGGGGGGGACATGTCCCCCCCCCCAAAAAAAAAATTACATCCATGGTTTAAATAATAAAACCTGAGCTAAAGCTTCTGTCTCTGTTGCAGATCAAGACCGGCGCCCCCTGCAGATCTGAGCGACTGGCCAAGTACAACCAGCTCATGAGGTGAAACCAACGTTTTACAGCGGATGTTTTTATGTTGGACTTCTCTGCTGCAGGAACACAACAGCTCAGGACTGGTTTCTACCTTTCATGACATTCAGACATGGATTTATGAAATAAATGAGTATGTTTAAACCTCTCAGGTGAAAAATGATGCACAGGTTTCAATTTGAGACCTGAAACGTGAAGTCAGAAGCGGCAAAATGTTCCATTTTATTACAAATCAGCTTCAGGAATATATATTTGAAATCGTTAAAGGAACAAAATATGAAAAATGAGTTTATTTAAGATAAATGTAAGTTTTATGTGTTCAAAGGAAAAAAAACTTTGACATTTTTTATTCTGATTCGTTCGCGACCTTCTAAATAAAAAGTTTTACCCTTTTTTTTTTTTTTGCTCTGTCACACCTGAACTTTTTAATGATTCAGCATTTTTCTGTCCTCCTCCAGCTCAAACTCTGGCTGCAGCCCAGCAGCCCCGCCTCTCCTTAGGAGCATACTCTATTTTAGTGCGTGTAGTCCGAGCTAATTGATGTGGCAGTCGACAGAAGCGCTGGCGTCGCCCGATGTATCCGAGCCAGTCAGAGGATGGGAGGGACGGGGGGAGGGTACCGACTCGGTGGTTTAATCCCATCGGATTGCTGAGGAGACACAGGAGAGGTGGAAGGTGGAGCATTCGGATCATTAACCTGTTGGTGCGTTTAAACGTGAGCATCCAGGACAAACCCGTGTTACAGGATGTCAAAAACACAATTTATTCTTAATATTTCTTTGCCTTTTAACAAATCTCATTTAAAAAGGGTCTAATATAAGTATGGAAAATCCTGACATTGTCTTTAATCAAGGCTCTATTTAATCCAGCTTTTAAACATACTTACAGACTGATAATAGTCCAAAAAATATATATTTGTTTCCTTTCAAAAAAGCTAAATAGCGGCGTGGTCCTTGCTTACAATCTGTAAACCCATGGGGTTGCTGAGTCTGCGCCGAGCTAACGCTGAGCTAACGGTATTTGCAATTCAACACCGGCAGGGAAAAACCTTCAAAGGTATTTAAGTAACTGAAGCCAGTAAATAGGAGCGACCCAGAAGTTATTTCTTGAACCCTAAGAAGCCACGACATGTTTTTGTTTTGCTCTAATATCGAGTGAAGCAGGCTAGTAGCTAACAAATTATCAATGCTAACGTGAATTCGAAGAAAATAGTCGGCTCTAAAAAAAATCTCAAGCTACTTTTGAAATTACCAGCAACCCATTATTACAGTGACATGTGTGTTTGAAGTTAATCACGAGTCAATCGTAGCGTTTTATTTCCTTCAATGAGTCGTTCAGAACCATAACAGCAAGCTAGCAGCAAGGCGGCAAACAGCCAGACTTCCTGGAATGCTGGAGGCATTGCTACCATAAGTGTAGTTAGTGATCCCTACCGTAAAACACCCAAGAGTGGTAACACCAGATTTACGATATACTTATCTACTTATCAACTTACTATGTATAACTCATCTTTAGTTGTCATCTAGAGTGTTCTGGTGCTGATCTGTAACCGTCGACAGCCATGAGACTCATGGAACAGGAGTGAGATAGTCACTATTTGTTTAGAAAAATGGGCTGCAGTACCCAAATTTCACCACAGGATGTCATTATTACTTTATTCTTACATGTTGCACCTTTAAGAAAAACATAAAATGTCCCTTTAAAATGGTTTTCTCGCTAGGCTGCTAGTTCTCAGTGGTTCAGTAAGCTGAAGTGCCTTTCTGTTGTGTTGTTGGAAAATCAGACAAATGTCTCCGTTTAGTTTCTGAATCAGAAAGACAATTATGGGAGGAGTTAGCAACAAATTTGTGAATGGAGCGAGGTGAAGTGGCACACAAATGGAGACGTGAGTCAGGCTCAACAACAATTCCATGACTCCGACATTTAGGGGAATTTGTCAGGGAGTTTCCTAAATGTCTTTTAATAGTTGTCCAAGATCTCAGTTAACTCATGACTTGTAGTGGCTCGCTGGTGGTGGCGCTTACATTTTCACCAAGTCTAAAAATTAGTGAGAAAAATCTTATCTGAAGATAGTCACAAAGTAGGAATGCAGAAATCTCGATTTAGTTTGCGTGAGTAAAAAATTTCAGGGAATGTGAGTCAAGTTTGAAAAACAAAAACAGCAAAAATGGAAGTTTTCCGCAGATCGTTTACAATTTCGTTTCGTTCCACACGTGTCCCGGCTGGACTCAGCCTGAAGCCGTAAAAACAGAACAAGAACTTTCCTGCTTCTCATGTTTAAACAAACTCTTTTCTTCTTCGTAGGATCGAGGAAGAGTTGGGTGACCAGGCTCGCTTTGCAGGCCACAACTTCAGGAACCCCAGCGCTCTGTGAAACTGACCAACGAATGATTCACACACTCATGCACGCGCACACCCACACACACACACACACACACTGACATCAATGACAAATAAGGAATGAGCCATGTACAAAGAAACGCCACACAAATTCAGGAAAACTCACAAACTCGCTGCAGAGCCAAGCTGAATAAACAATTTATGCACTGGACTTGAAGGAGGGAGGTGATACTGTATGCACGTCCACACACACACACACACACACGCACGTGAAGACAATAACGCACACGCAGGAGAAAACCCCGATAAATAAAAGCCAGACATGCACTGTTACTGTAGGAATAGTTCACGTACAGCCAGAGGACAAATCTGCAAAAATACAGATTCATCAGATCATGAGTAGAGAAATTAGAATCATTTAGACCGAAGAAAAGGGAAGCATCAAGCATTAAAGACCAAAACGAGGATTATGCAGTTTTACTGGCATTAAAGCGACACTCTGTAACACCTGTACACACACTCAGCCGTGCACTCACCTGGACACTGGAGTACCTGCACTCCTCACACCTCCTTTCTCTTTGATTCTCCTTCTTGTCCCGTCTGTGACCGTGTTCCTTTTTCTTCTCACGCCGGTGTGATCCTGTCATTCATGCTTGAAGTCTTCTCCCCGTCTTAAAGAAAGAGTAAAATAAAATAAACCCCCTTTGATTTCCCCTGAATGCCCATAGAATAGCTGCTGTTGAAACAGAAGAAAGAGCAATGAAATAATAAAACACCATCAGAACGCTTGTCACTGAAAACTGTGTGAAAATATGTGAAATAATAAAGTTAATTTACAATTTCAGCCAGGTTGTTTTTATTGTCTTTTTTCTACTTTAAAGCGACAGTGTGTAGTTTCCCCGGGGGATAACGCCAACACCTGGGGGATAACGCCTTTGTTTCTGCTCCGATTTTTCATGAGATGGACTTAAAGACCTAAAATTTATTCCAGATACACAATATCACCATTTCTCTCAAACATTGTTCACAAATCAGTCTAAATGTGTGATAGTGAGCACTTCTGCTTTGCTGAGATAATCCATCCCACCTCACAGGTGTGCCACATCAAGATGCTGATCTGACATCATGAGTAGTGCACAGGTGTGAATTTTAGATCTTTAAGTCCATCTCATGAAAAATCGGAGCAGAAACAAAGGTGTTAAGTTCATATTTTTGTTGAGTGTGTGTTGTTATCAGACACAGCACCTTTATTTTAATCCTTGCACTGACAGTAATGTGCTTCCGTAGCAGTGACACATGTAATGTTTCTCTGGAAGAGAACGGCTCCACACGCTGTAGAAAGTTACTAAAACACAACTAATTAGGATTAAAATAAATAATAAATAAATAAATATAAAAATTTGTGGCTGACCTCCGTAAATGATGCGGACAGAATCGGCCACTTCGTCTGAGAGGTTTGCTCTGAGCCAGGATCTCAGTTTCTGATGGACCTCCTGAGCCTACAAAAAATAAAATAAATAAATAAACAACTTTAAATCTGTCATATTATTATAAAACTAAATTCAGAAAATACTGTCAAAATCTTTTTTCCTTTCAGTCATCAAAAATGTGTTTTTCTTTTGAAAAGAACAAACGTTAACTTCATGAAGCTGTTGGTCATGGAGGACATCTCACACAAACTTATGAAGAAATACAGGATTAAATGAGACGAGAAAGTAAGAAGAGTTTTAGATATTTATTGATAGCCTTAAAGGGACTGTAAGGAAGTTTGACAGCCAAAACATGTGTAGAAATAATAAATGTCTTCTTCATACATTCTCCTGCAATGCCCTGGTCCTGTAGAATGAGCCCTGGCATTTTTACTGTGATTGCCTGTTTTTCTGTAAAATCACAGAAAAAGAGAGATGCTCGGGTCGAGCAGGCTGCTTCATGCGCGTTCACGCTCAGGCATCGCCCGTAGCATTTGCTATCCGTAGCTTTAGCAGCAGAGAGAGAGGAAGTGCCACTTTGTCGCTGTTCCTAACGCCTAGTGACAAAGCTAGCTACATTTCTGAGGACCCTTAGCTACTTTCTGTAGAACTTTCTTCTAGATATTTCCTGCAAATTAGCAACAAAATAGCCGTTTTAGCTCCGAACCATTCTTTGGTTTGACGTTGTTTCAGCTGTCATCAAGGATATAAATGTTACAGACACTGTGAATGTTACTAGAGTGTATCTCACCTTGTAAGATGTCTGACTCCCATGCAGAAGACCTGGGTTTGATTCTGGATGTGAACTTAGTTTATTTAGAGTTTCTTTTTTACATTAATGGTATATTTTTTACAGTAAGATGCCCAAAATTTTTATTTGAGACTCGCCGAACGGCATTGAATTCACAGATAAAAAAGATGTGGGTTCAACTTTCATTTTGGAACAATTTTTCAAGCAAGGGAAGGGAATGATCTGAGCGTGCAGGAGGACTGGCCCATCATAAACCTTTGTCGGCTGTGCTGAAGAGAAAGGTACAGAACCAAATTATTTAATTAATTAGCTGCGTGTTCTCCTGTCCTCTGTCCTCTGGGCCATACACACACACACACACACACACACACACACACACACACACACACGGGGCGACGGTGGCACAGGAGTTAAGTGCTCGCCCTGTAATCGGAAGGTTGCTGGTTCGAGTCCCGCTCAGTCTGTCGCTGTCCTTGGGCAAGACACTTAACCCACGTTGCCTGCTGGTGGTGGTCGGAGGGACTGGTGGCGCCAGTGCTCGGCAGCCTCGCCTCTGTCAGTGTGCCCCACGGCAGCTGTGGCTACATTGTAGCTCATCCCCACCAGTGTGTGAATGTGTGTGTGAATGGGTGAATGACTGATTGTGTTGTAAAGCACCTTGGGGGGTTCTAGGACTCTAGAAGGCGCTATATCAAATACAGGCCATTTACCATTTACACGGGACTGTCTCAGCTGTTATTTTCGTTAAGGAGTGTGCACGTACAGCATGCGCGCCTCGTGCACGAGCCTACTATTGAAGCTGCCGTCACGCTTTTGGCCTGAGGGGGCAATCACGAGCATAAAATTCAAAAGTACGTAAAGTCTCTAATTATTATTTATTTATTGTCACATTTGTGTCAATTAAACATATTTTCTTATCTGTTTTTTGGTTAGAAATGTTTAAAATCTACCCTTAGTGCTTTTCTGTATTTATTCTTATTTTTGGCAGGAAACGTCCTCCATATTAAATAAATATAACAGTTTTACCTCTAAATGGTTTTAAGATTTAATACATTTATGAATATTGATTATTTTTTAGTCATTAATGATTTATTTTGGGGGACAACATTTTATTGTGTGTGAGTAAAGTTTATTTTATTCTGTTTTACCTGCTCAGGTGTGGCTGTCTGGCTAGTGACGATGGCCCACACTGGTTCATACGCCAGCACCACGTTGCTCCAATCCTTCACGTTCTCTGGAACAAAACACCAAACGGCTGAAAATAAATGGGTCTATAAATCAAACATCTATCGGAATAGGACTTCATCAAAAATATCAACAGGAAACATTCCTAGAAAATCTGACTATTTAAACTCTGATTGTCCTTCAGCCATCTTTACTTTTCGTGCTCATGTAAGAGAGGCAGAAACCAGCTGTGCCTTTTAAAATTCCTTCAGCTGCAGAGACCAGTGACCTATTTACATTTTAAACTAGGAGGAGACCTACTTTTGGTTCAGAGAAGATCCACGAGTCCAACGTGTAACCGGAGGAAGGATCATTAATCAGATTATGTAACAGAATAAGGACAGAAGCAAGAGAGATGCAGGTTTTAACAAATGCAGACGTATTTATGGATGCAGCTGCAGCACGAGGAAACATCTCAGTCACAAACGTGGTTAACCCTTAACTAGGGATGCACCGATCAGGTTTTTTGCTGCCGATCACCGATATCAAAGAATGCTGATCACCGATACCGATATCAAAGAATGCTGATCACCGATACCGATCACCGATACCGATCACGTGGATTGGCCAGAAATTTTCTACAACATTATAATGAGTGCTACAAACTACATAATCTGGGAATAAAGGAAATGTAACCTAATCTAAAATGGTCTGTATTAAGGTCGTCACGGTGTGAAAATGTAACCTCACGGTTATTGTGACCAAAATTACCACGGTTTTCGGTATCGCGGTATTTTTTTTAAACGTGCTACATTTTCACACAATTAAATAAACCCTGTATGTCAGGAAATATTGTCCTCAGTTTGTGTCTAAATTTTGCCTAAAATGTGTTATTTTGTAATTATGTTGTTTATTTGTTTACATTTTTCCCCTTTAGTCTTAAAAATACCAATATTTGCCCATAACGTCTTATTATGATGTCATCATTTAAAAATATTAGATCAGATGATACTCAGTACCCAAGTAGCATTCTAATCAGATACTTTTTTACCCTTACTTGAGTAATAAACCCGATATCAGGAAAATCACACACAAATCCGACGATGCAGTCCCATGCGTGGTCCAGCGTGTAAACTCCGTCGTCCCTGTTCATGGTCCCACATCCACGTCTCCTTATCTCGATTGCTTCCTTGATCCATCTTTTGTATACCATGAACAGGGATGACGGAGTTTACACGCTGGACCACGCATGGGACTGCATCGTCGGAGAGGGGAGAGCGGGCAGTAGAGGGCGACAACGTCCTCTGCTGCCCGCAGATAAACGGAGAAGGAAGTGACACGCCACCATCAGCGTCAGTCTGAAGAAGCCGGCAGCCGTCGGCGAAACTGTAGCTACTAACAGGTAAACAAAACTGTTTCTGTGTTTCAAAAAGAACGAAAGCATGGAAATGACCCCTTGGTCCACAGGTGGAGACATCATTAACCTGTCGCTCCTGGAAGCTAAGGATCCACCTTTATGAAAGAAACAAATAAAAAACATGGAATCATGTGTTTAAACATATTTTCACGCATTAAAACAACAGTTTTCTACTCTAAGTTGTCTTTGCATAAATAAAACTAGAATCACCAACTGAGTAAAGTTTTATTTTGTTGTATTTCTGTTTGAAACTTTGTTGGAGGAAAAAAAAGAGACTTGAAAACAAAAACATCAGAGGATTTAACCTACTCATCTGGTCACGTGACAGATTTTCTATTCTGGTGACTTTTGAAATCAAACGTCGGCTCGGTTTGTTACCGTGCAGGATGGCGCTGTCCAGGGTGCTGATCGGCTGCCCCAGACTCTGCTTGTCGCCGTTCATCTTCCGGTTTCCTCCCACAAAGACCCTCTGGGGCGCCATGGCCGGCTGCTGGCGGCTAATTCTCGGTGAGGAGAGAGGAGGTGGAGGAGAGACGGCAGGCAGGAGGAGTCCCGCCTGGTGCTGATGTCACGTACGGTGGGAAATGTCAGCACCGGACACCGGTGACGCGTCATAACGGCTTTTGGTCCTTTACTGCCCTCTGGTGGATTTACACAGAATGGAATGAGGAATTGGTGTCGGTCTTAAAATTAGAATTTCATGACAAGTTGATTTATTTCAGTAAATCAATTCAAAACGTCAATATTAGAGTCATTCATTATTTCAAATGTTTATTTTATTTTGATGATTATAGCTGACAACTAATGAAAATCCCTAATTCTGTTTCTTAGATTATTAAAACATTTGTTGAGACCAAAGCAAAAAATAATTTTTTTTTATTTTTAGAAATGTTGGCCAGTTGTAAAGTATGAACATGTGCAGCACCCAGTAGTTAGTTGGGGCTCCTTTGGCCTGGATGACTGTAGCAACGCAGCGTGGCA